TTATTGAAGCGCTAGGCCAACTAGTTAAGACACAGCCTCATATGTTCGTAACACGGACAGCATTTGATGATCATCTTCGTTTTCTTTGCCACAATCACTGGATCTATATGCTTAGACCGTGTTTCAAATGTAGGTTGTCATAACTATCAGGGGGATCTGCTACATCTGCCAGATTTGAAAATCATAGCGTGTAGAAACCATTGTTTCAGATTCGAAGATAGATTGCCAGTTGGAATCTAATTTAGTATAGGACAGGTAGAAAAAACAATTGCTTTGGGGGCTATGCAGTGCTAGAGACGGCGAGAGGCGAGCCAAGAAATGTGATCTCGCAATTGATGCCAAGCTTGAAGAGATGAATCTGTTTACTCTCAACCTCATCCAGAAACCAAAGTACAATTTCTTCAATCACATGAAGCTCCCAGACATGTGATCATCGTATCGATTAATTTCTTCCTCCTCAAAGACGCTTCTCAGCTTCGTTACGACCGTGGGGCCGAGATCTACGGGATGAGAAGACTTGAAGATTTTTCAGGAAGATCCTCGCTACCACGGTACACGGGTGATTTACCAAGTTTGGATGTGCGTGATAAGTTAACGCCACGAAAATCTTGGCTTCGGTGCAAAAAGAAACCTTTTCAGCACACAACACCCATGGATAACACTCGGAAGGCTTGGAAATGGCTTGGAGATAACTGCAACCCCACTCTAATTGAGGGGTCCAGACCCCTATGTTGTTTAAAGTGGAGATCTGGCACCATGTCGGGCCAATCTACGAATGAAAACAACTAACGTGCACTAACGAAGAGGGTGTCGGGCACCCGAGAATCGGTAGCCACAGCACGATTGTTCTCGCCGTGAGACTGGAGGCTTGGCGTTAGGCATCAAAATTGAAATGAGACTGAAAACTGATCTGCAAGTTGCCAAGATGGAAAATTGCATCAATCAGCATCACAAGGTAGACAGCCCTGGCTAGCCTCAACCGATGTCATAGCTGTGGTCGAGGTAGAAAAACACCCTGAACGTGCATTGTCAAGGCTCAATTGTGAATCGATGTGCAAATTAATGATCATCGACGATGATGAGACCCGGGATCTTGGCGGCCCCGCTGCGGATTCTAGGGGTGTCGCGGCGGATCAGTGGAGACACGCTCTACCACTCACAGACTCTATCAAAGACTATCAGAAAAGCTTCCACAGAAGGGGCATCTTCTGAGTCTGGTCGACACGTTCGTTTGGAGCATATGAGCACTACTATGTATGTATGTACGCAGCCCATACGTTGTATTTCATAGAGGACGTTCAATATGTCGATCATCTCTCGTCTACCCCGTAGCGGGAACCTTGTCCAGAGAAAAAGTCTTGGACACATTCTTCTCCTATCCATGTCTGTTTGAAAATTTAGCTGAATTGGTCCGTAGCTTGTAGGTATCACTAATCTTCAATCACAATGAATCGTCATTGTGATGCCAAAACCCTGAATCTAGCCCCCCCCCCCCCCCCCCTTTATGGGCTCTTGATTGGGCGACTTGTGAGCAGCAAGGGCCAAAATCCCCTATAGCGATTCATCAAGGGGGAATGCACACGTAAGTCAATGGCGTATTTTGTCCAACAATCAGCTCTCGATCCAAATTGATTGGTGTTAATGACGAAGCTTGGCATTTGCTTGATGTACAGTCATCATTATCGCTGATATTCAACACGTGGGAGAAAATGAGATCCTGGTACTCCATACAGAAACTCAGGGCTCAGCTCTCTTTTCCTAGAATCAAGATATGTAGCCGTGGCAAGACTTGGCATGAAGACTTTTAGTGGATTGTTAACTAGCTTGCCATGCATCCCTTACCCTGCAGGATTTCGGGGATTTCGGGACCTTTATGACATGAGATGCCGCGAAAGTAAGCCGGGTGGGCATACATCGTATGCAAGCGTCGAAAAGATTTAGCCCGACATCTTTTTCTCCGACTGCAAACCTTCAGGGTGAAACCGGGCATGTGTGGTGTCGATGCAGTGCAGATCGATTCCATTATCCACGCGTGCATGGAGACCGGAATGAATTCCAGTTGGTATCGGAATTTGCCCTATAAACTTAGGTATCAGCACTATTCAATCGTAGTTGTCTGGGTCCTAAACCACTCGTGGGGAGCTCAGGAATGTGCTTTCCCCAGTGGTAGACGTCAGCCTTCGAGGCTTGAAGACAACATAATAGACATATAGCCGTCCACACTTGAGACGTAAGTCATTCTGTAAGCTTGTTGAAATGCTCAACTAGAGCCTCGAATATTCTAAGTGCGGATCATGGCCCGTACGTGTCAAATTGAGCGACGTCAGGTTTACCAGATTTGTCTAGTCTGTGCCACTTTCAACCATCAAGGGGACGGTATAATGATCCCCATGGTCGAACCCACTGTGGAGCACGTTTAGTAGACTCTCAGATGCATGGGTCCGCCTAGCATTTTGCTTGTAATTTTGAATAAACCCTCTAGGGGTTTCTCGCTGGAACCGAGATACAAAAGGGTGTCTCCATTCCCTCATGGAGCTCCCTAGATCTCTAAATCAATTCGGGCTAAATGAATCTATAATTCCGCTCCGATTGTCTAAAATCTGTGTCTGTTGATACATCCAGTGTGGTCTTCATATTCCATAACACATTTTCATCATGACTTTGTCCCAGCTCAGTTCAACAGAAACCCTCAAGGATCCTGGGGTCACAATCCAGTCGTTTAACCCAAGCCCTAATGTCTCTCCTCGGGATGAGAAATCTGTCTCGGTATCATCATCACCAGCAAATTCAACCGACGCTGAAAGCCAAGCCCCGGCACCACCACCATACCATGTGTTTACTCGGTCTCGCAAGTTGTGGATCGTCATTATTGTCTCTTTCGCCGCCATCTTCTCGCCGCTTTCTTCAAACATCTACTTCCCTGCGCTTACAGACGTTGCAAATGTGAGTTGACCCCAGTCTTTCATCTGGCCACTTTACACTAACGGCGATTTAGGAACTCAACATCTCCACGTCTCTGGCCACGTTAACCGTCACAGTATATATGATTGTTCAAGGTCTTGCCCCGAGCTTTTGGGGTTCTTTCTCCGATGTGTTGGGTCGCCGTGTGCTTTTCATGGGAACGTTTGGCGTATACATTGTTTCGAACATTGCTTTGGCTGTCTCTACCAACTATGGTGAGCTCATGGCTTTCCGAGCGCTGCAGGCCGCCGGAAGTGCAGCAACGATCTCCCTTGGTATGGTACATCAATCATCTCTACTTCGTGTCTTACCCTAACGTGCGTAGGAGCTGGTGTCATTGGTGATATTACCACATCGGCGGAGCGAGGCAGCTTGATTGGAATCTTTGGTGGTGGTGAGTAATGTGCTACTCAGATGTGTTGTCCTGTTCTAAGGCTAAAATGATCCAGTCCGCATGTTGGGCCAGGGAGTTGGACCAGTATTCGGTGGAATTCTTTCTCAGTACCTTGGCTTCCGATCTATCTTCTGGTTCTTGGCTATTGCATCAGGAATCAGTCTTTTCTCGATCATTTTCTTCCTCCCTGAAACACTCCGTTCTATCGCTGGCAATGGCACGGTTCCCCTGAAAGGCATCAACAAGCCAATCATCTACACCATTTGCGGGCAGAAGGATGCCCAGGAGAACTCGACCCCCTCCGGAAAGAAGGGCAAAGTGACCTTTAACACCATGCTGACACCCCTCCAATTTCTATTTGAAAAGGATGTCTTCATCACCTTGTTGTACGGCAGCATTGTGTACACAGTCTGGTCGATGGTAACTTCCTCGACATCCGACCTATTTGAAAAACATTATGACTTGAACACGCTGGAAGTTGGCCTAACCTTTCTCGGCAATGGTTTCGGGTGCATGACCGGCTCCTATACAATCGGATATCTCATGGACTTCAACCACAAGCGAACCGAACGCGAATACTGTCAGCAGCACAGCCTTCCCCTTGATACTCGTATCAACTTGAAGAGCCACCCTGATTTCCCCATCGAGTACGCCCGCACACGCAACACTTTGTGGATCACTGCTATCTTCATAGTCTGTGTCGCCGTCTACGGAGTTTCCCTTCGCACACATCTTGCCGTCCCCATTATTCTGCAGTTTATCATAGCTTATGGCTCTACTGCTATCTTCACCATCAACAGCGCCCTTGTCATCGACTTGTACCCAGGTGCAAGTGCCAGTGCAACGGCAATCAACAACCTGATGAGGTGTCTGATTGGTGCTGCCGGTGTCGCGGCTGCTCCATCCATCATTGATGCTCTCACTGCCCAGTTCGCATTTGTCATGCTCGCTGGCATTACCCTCGCGATGGCCCCTCTTCTCATGGTTGAGACGAAGTGGGGCTATGGATGGCGTATTGAGCGCCAAGAGCGCCTTAAAAAGAAGGAAGTTTCGGGTTAAATGAACATGATGGATGTGCCTCAATAGGGGAAATTGGAAATAGAAGGGCACAAAGTACACAGTTGGGCACGAAAGCCTATCACGACTTGACGATAAGTGCTTATATGGGTTTCTCATACTGATTTTTTGTTTTTGTTTCATCCAAGCCATCAATTTACAGCTCCCTTGACGTAGCATTTTACTTTTGGCATCATTAACGTTTTGCATAGGGCTATATCTATGTCCCCTAGGTAACCATCTACCGCCGTCTTGATTGGTAACATTTGTCTTCTTGACCTCCTATTTCTTCTTTTAGTATCTCTCACACGATTAAAGATACTTTCAAATGTGAAAGCAGTACTGAATCGAAATTTCTTTTTGAATGAAAGATGTAGACTTGAACCTTTACACACTGATGGTGCATGTGGTTTTCTGCCCACGCACCAACGCAGTCAAAGTTCCGCATGGCCGCTTTCATCCCCCGTAGTCACAGGCCAAAATTAGCTTCCCCTGCGCCGTGGACTTTGATTGTTTTGCAACTACATTCGAATTTCATCCATGATTTCTAGTACACTGAGCACATTCACAGAATAAGCCGGTCCTAATAATGGAATCTGCCCGAGGTCTTTACAAAAATGACATTGATTTTGCAGCCTTGGCGCTGCAATCGCGCGACTTCGCCAAGCAGTACGTGAAACAGCCTTCCCTCTAACAGAAAGTCCAGGACTGATGTGAACTAGCTTGAAATTAAACGGACAACTGGATTTTACTGATCCAGCCGCTGTCCGGTAAGTCAGAGAACCCTAGTATCTGACATTCCAAGAGCGGATCTGATTTGCGTCATGCAGACAACTCACCACCACGCTCCTGCAACAGGATTTTCACCTGAAAGTTGAAATCCCCGAGGACCGACTGTGTCCACCGGTATGCAGACACTGAAACCATCTTATGCACACGTACTGACTTAATTTTTAGGTCCCAAACAGGTATGTCGTCCTGGATGCCAGCTCAGATCCTTCACGCATGTGTTTAACATGTAGCATAGACTAAATTACATCCTCTGGCTGCAAGACCTTCTTGACTCCACCGCAGGAGGACTGAAAGAGGGGTACGACCGAGACCGGGAGGTTGTAGGCCTCGATATGTACGAAATGAGTCCTTTCCATTTTCGAATTGTGTCTGACAATGTAAAGTGGAACAGGATGTGTTGGTATCTACCCCCTATTGGGCTGTGCCACACGGCCGGGGTGGAAATTTCTAGCGACAGGTATGTCTTTGAGTCCGAGGATCTTCAGTATCCACTGATCAGCCCGACAGACATCGACTCGAACAATATCCGCACCTCCCAGCACAATGTGGCTTTGAACAACCTTGAATCACGAATTCAGATTGTAAGTTCTGACCCCACTGGACCACTCTTTCCGCTGGAAAAACTAGGGCGTCAACGGTGAGTCTCTATGAAGTGAAGACTTGCTAAAATCTGATCTGACCATTCACCAGCCTTGATTTCACAATGTGCAACCCACCCTTTTACACCTCGTCCAATGAACTCAAGCAATCTGCTGAGCAGAAAGAACGAGAGCCCTTCTCTGTGAGTGTCACTGGCTATTCATTTCCCATGCCAAACTAATATGCGCACTTGCGTACCGCACAAGACTAACTCTATGAAGGCCTGCACCGGCGCCGAAGTCGAAATGGTGACCCGCGGCGGAGAATTAGCTTTTGTCAAGCAAATGATCGACGAGAGTCTCCGCCTGCGCGAGCGTATTCAGTGGTACACATCCATGCTCGGAAAACTGAGCAGTATCAATGTACTTGTAGAGACACTGATCAAGCATGGCATCACCAATTTCGCAGTAACCGAGTTCGAGCAGGGAAGCAAGACGAAGCGCTGGGCCGTGGCGTGGTCATGGGGAGACCGAAGGCCTGCCATGGTAAGTCATACTTTGCCGCCTTTTAACTCACGCCGCGCTTGTATTTTGTGCGCCAGGTCTAACCCCTTGTTCTAGAGCATTGCGCGTGGAATCCCTGGGTGTCCGAAGAGTCTTTTGCCTTTCCCTGCAGACTACACATTCACACTACCATCTGCCGCATCTATTGACACCGCTACTGCGACTATAAATGCAGAGCTCAGCTCATTGCCTTGGTTCTGGGTTTGGGATCAGACCCATTCTGCGGGGACGGGATTTGCTGCTGAGAATGTGTGGTCGAGATTCGCTCGACGGAAGATGAAACTTGCCGGTGAAGAGGGTGCGGCTAAATTGAAGGTGATTCCCGCCCAGGTGGCGCTGGGAGTACGTCTGCAGATAAGGCTGGTCCGAGGAGAGAAACCGGAGAAAAAAGAGGTGAAAGTTTTGGTCCGCTGGGCCCAGGGGACAGACACCGTCTTGTTCGAGAGCTTTTGCGGGATGGTGAAGAGAAAGTTGGAATCAAAATAATTCCCATTAACTATGACTCTAGCTACACCCATGTATGAAAAACCTCAATTCCTGAATCAATATGAGGAGGGTTGAATAATGTTGCACTTGGTATATGACTTTTGTAAACATTGCACTAGCTAAGTGGGCGAGTTGATCTAATTGATTCATAAACAGCATCAAAGGGTTATATTTACTAATTCCCTGTCACCTCAGACTGTAACTGCTTCAAGCGGTCCCAGCCTTCCGTACCATCCCAGAAGTCCTTACCCTTGCCCATGATTCCTCTCACGGCACTTCGAGCCTTGAACCGCCAGTCCTTCGCAACAAGTTCAGTCTCTTGATCACCCCCAACCTTCTGATCTTCACGGTCCATAGGACCAAACTTAGCATACCCATCCCTCACAAGCTTCTCCGTAGCCCGTACAATCTCAAGCCAGGGCTTCTCATCACCCATCTGGAAAGCGCCCTGAGCATTAGCAGCAATGGTAGCGCGCCAGGCCTTCTCGTAAGCCTCAAACGCCTTAGACGGCCGACCACGGAAGACCTCAACGCGAGCAACAATGTGCCACAGCACCGAAGAGTGCGTAATAAGTGGAATGACATTCTGGTCGACCAGTGAGATAATCTGGCCTGGAATAGTACCGGTACGAACAATCGGGGCTTCGGCTGGATCGTCAGAGCGGATGAGCAACGCCTCGTACTCGAACGCCACGCTCAAAAAATCAACGAGCATGCCTAGGATCGCCACATCGATACACTTCTCGCCCTGCTTTGTGCCGATGAGCTCGATAATGCGCTTCTGTGCCGTGATCACCTCGCGGAATGGTGTTGCCGGCGGCGGGATTGACGCCGCGACTGTCAAGACGTTGTCCCAAATGCGGGCGTCAGTGCCCTTGAGTTGTGCTGCGCGCTGGAGTGCCGATAAGGCCTCGCGCTTGCGCTTGTGGGGGTCGACTTCGGCGGCGGAGACTTCGCCAGTGGTTTCGTCGATGATCTCTGGGGCGGGCTCTGGGGCGGGCATGCGCAGCATCGCCGCGGCAAGGTTGCTCCAGGCTTGGCCGTCGGTATCGTCGAGCTGGACGGTGCGGGTGAAGGTGTCGGTTGCTTCTTGCCATTTTTGGAGCTCGAGCTGCACGCAGCCCAGAGCGAACCATGCACCCTGGTTCAGGCGGTTGATGTGTAAACTCTTCTTATAGGCTTCCTCGGCCTTTCCCAGTTGTGGTGGTGTGGAGGTGAGGTAGTGACGGGCCAGGGACCGCTGGGCCCGGGCGTATCGTTCCCCAGAGACCACCCAGGCGCGCTCGTATAGCTTTTCGTCCTTTTCGATGTCTCCCATGATACATAGTAGACGCGGTGCATCTGCTGGAAGTGGTGACCGCTCTGGTCCTTCAAATTGCTCGTTTTCATCATTTTCGTCTGGGCCGGTGGCTTGGTAAAGCTGGCGGCGGATGAGGTTCTTCGCCTTGCCTTCCCGCTCGGTGGCGGCATAGCATAGCGCGGCCTCGGCCCACATGTGTAGTCTCTCGTAGATCTCGAGTGCGGTACGCAGACCACCAAGATCAACCCAGCGCTTGGCAAGCTCGGCCTCGAGGCTCCAGCGTGTTGAGAAGTTGAGGATCCAAATATGCTCAAGTCGGTCAGCGGCCGGGGCAGATTCAGACTGCTCGGGGCGGGGAAGGAAAGTTGTAGGGTCGCCTGATTCAGTCTGAGCTGCGTCATCGCTAGTTGCAGTGTCCGCAATGACCTGATCTACCAAAGCCTGCATCTGCAGCACGGCTCTCTCAACGGTACGGGAACGATAGCCCTCTACCCGACTACGGACTAAAAGCGCTTGGGTATAGATCTGCCAATTGGAGCTGCCGCCATCGAGCACTCGAGTGGCGTAGGGGTTTGTTTCCTCTCGGGTGAGGCCGTTCTCGGGCGAGGTGTTAGTAATGGCAGATGCCAGTGCGAGTAGAAGAGCAGAGTCAACGGGGTTGAGAATAGGCTGGTTGTTGGCATCAAGAGCATCCAAAGCCGGGGAAACCTTATCCTGAATTGCCAAGGATTCTTCATCGGGCTTTTGGTCGGAGAAAGAGATGGCCTCGAGAAGAGTGTCGTCGTCCAAGTTCAGGTTTTTAGGCCCAGAAGGCTCCGAGAATTGTGTTGTCTCATCAGCACTCTTGGCCAACACGACCAGCTGACTGATATCGCGGTCTTGAAATTTTGTGCGCTTGCCCATCTTTCCGGTCAGCGCAAACTCAAACCTCCGCACCTTGGCCGCCTGATCAATATCTTCGCGTGCCTTGGCATCGAACCCGTGGTGTGTGTGGATAGTGGCCCTTTCCAGCAAGAACCGGCTCCTCTCTTCTGGGTTCAACTCAGCCTTGTCCAAGATCTCAACGTCCTTGTAGATCACATCCTGAAGAGTACTTGTGACCTCCGAGAGCATCTTTTGGTGAAGGAAGTTGGTACGCATGCGCGCGGTCTTTGCCAGAAGCGGTCCATCGCTCCCAGCATCGGCCAGCAGCGCCTTGGCAACAGCAAACAACTCCGGGTTAGGTGTGAGCTTGTAGGCTGCTTCTCCATCCACGGTTAGGTCCCGAATGATCTTTGCCCGCACAGCTTTGAGGATTGTGGGTTTGGTTCGCAGAGAAGAAGGCAACACAGCTTCGGCCGAGCTAAATTCGAGTGGAGGACCGGTGACGTTGGACTGCAGGAAGCTGAACAAGGCTGCTAGCCCAAGATGAAGGAGTTGCGATTGCTTTTGTTCCGTGGTTAAGTCATCGCTAGACCGGAGGGCGGCGCGGGCCTGATCGGCGACGAAGGTGGTGTATGAGATCTCGCCGCTTGCAACCTGTTCGAGAGACTCGTTTGAGGCATCGTGGCCCAGCACCCTGTGGGTGAGCGGCAAGTTGAGGATCGGGACGATGTTGTCTGACGTCAATCGGATTGGATCGATGCGGTCTTTGAGGGGGTTTGCGGCATCAAAGATGCTGTCCAGATTGGACGGATATGCAGGAGATTCAGCCATGTCAAATCTCTCCGGTAACCCTTTAAACGATCATGAAGTCGAGAATGTGCCCCACGATCTTGTTCGATTTTTCTGGCTTATCGATAGGGTGTGGATAACAGATATGCGTGGCATTTGGATAGAAGGCACAACATCGTCAGGAACGGAAACTATTGCCACATCCTGCTTATAGAGCATCCCATCCATTATTGTTCCAACCACTTTCGACTCTCTAATCGCGGAATCAGTCGTGAATGTCCAAATTATAATAACTTGATACATCAAGTGGACTCTTGCTGAGACTCATAGAGACGCATGTGCGTGGTCCTTGAGTATGCAATTCAAACCCTCACGCTGCATACAGCCCTCAAAGTGGAAACACCTTGCCAGCTCTTTTAGGTCCTTCTTACTACTTTCTCGAAACAATTCAGCTCAATCATTCACAACTGACGCTGCTAAGGAAGTACAGAACTAATCTCGCATAAAATTAAACTCCGAATTCCACGAAGTGGGACCCATCAACGATAATATCGCCCTTCACATGCAAGAAGCCGGATGCCATATTGTTGATCCAGAACGGAGCAATGTTGTGGCAAATGTCAAAGCTATAATGATGCCTACAGGGGTAGGTGGGAGGTGCTATGCATGACTAAAAGTACTTCTCTGTAGCAGGCTATTTATACAAAAGGTTCGGCAAGCAGGCCATATGCGGGGGATGGGTTAAATAATGTCGCGGCAATTAACATGGGGCTTCAAGTCATCAAGCTCAGTAGACATCCTCGACCGGCCAATATCGCAACATAAGCCTACGCCTGCATGTAGCCAAGACATTTGATCAAGTGTACAAGAATTGCATTTCTCGTAAATAACAAGACACATGCCAACGGGCATGGATATATGCCACCAGGGTATTTGTATACAAGAGAAGCAACGCCGTCCGAAAAAAAGCCGCCCAAACGCTCAGAGAATAATGCAACACACCAGACTAAACTACCAGTCCTGCCCGCGATCCCGCATTAGGATCTCAATGGCTTCATCTTCGGGGACGGGATTGTCATTTAGTTCCTTGACGCATTGCGTGAGTCCCTCCGCGGCTTCATCTACTTGCTCCGCCGTCCAGCCTGTGCATGCCATAACCATGCGACGATAGTTTTGGCCAAGAACTGCATTCTTTGCTCTCAGGCTATCAACTTCGGCTAATATCCCTCCGTTGAACTCTTTGTAGCATTGTGCTTGGCGCCTAAGCAGATCTGTTGCTGGCAGTGAAACCAGGAAGCCAACTTGCTGTTCTGAAAACCCGGACGCTGGATCGAAACCTTCGGGGAACAGAGCATCAAATGTCGCGACATCAACACCTGAATCTCTGTCGGCATCCCCCACAATAACCGTCTTGTTCGCGTCCAGTCCTGGTGTGTTTTTCACCGTGACCAACAGACCCTCAGATGAACGTTCTAGATTTTTGATGCGCCGGTCTAGCTCCACGCGCTCAGAGCCCTTGCGTTTGAGTTCATCATATTGTTTCTGTTCGATCTGCCGAGCTTTGGCAGACTCGCGGATTTTCGTGTGCCAGTGATCAAAACTTTGTTGTTTCTGTGTCAAGCTCGAAGCCAACTCTCGGTCGATTCCGCCAAGTGCTTCTTCTACCAGTGCACTAATTTGGGACATTGCCGCTAGACTTCATGTTAGCAAGAATGAAGATGAAAGGTCGGAAAACACTTACCATCAAGAATCTCTTTCTTCGACTTCGCCAATTGATCAATGAAAGTGTCATTCCGATTAACCGGTTGTTGAGACTGTGAGTTTCCGTCGACCATGTCGACGCCCACACCGTAATCTGCAGGCCGAAGACCAGTTTGGTTTGGAATGTGAGGGTCAGCACCCACTTCCAAAAGTTGCGGGACAAGGACCGAGCGCGCACGCCCTGCCAGATTAAGGGCTGTATCACCCTGATCATCGCGGAGGTTGACAATCTCAGAGATGAACCGTCCCAAAGAGATGACCTCACCGCTGGTGGTCCCGTTTGGCGCATGGTCCCCATTTGCACCTGGGACGATACCGCCATGTCGTACAATAAACTCGAGAAGAGCTTCCAGATAATGCTTTGCAGAGACGTGTCCGCCACCACCAGTCGCAGCCATCATGGCGATATGGTGCAGGATTGTGCGTCCACTGTAATCGACCATGTCAATGGTAGGGGCTAACACCTGCAGCAAACGAGGGAAACTTCGGTAATCGAGGTTGTTCCGTGTACCCACGGACTTTTGCAGGGCTGTTTCTCCGGCACCGTTGACTCGTGATATACTGACACCTTTGGCCACTAGCGCATTGAGAAGTGGCATTCGGGCAAGCATGGCAGCCCAGTGAAGGGCATTGTTGCGATACTCATCAAGCGGGATTTCAAGATCTTCGCCGGTCAATTGCAACAAGGCCGGATGATCCGTGAAGTCTTTTGTTCGTTTGTCGAGAAACAGTGTCATAATGAGCTTCATTTTCTGGAATCTCTCGGGCGTAGAAGCTGGCGCCAGGGACTCGATGCCGCGTTTCGAGCCATCATCAAAGGGGGGGGGAGGGAGATCCATGTCTTGATAAAATGAGTCGTTAGGTTCTGTGGGTGTAGGTTCATGCATGGATAGGTTGGATTGTTCTCGGGCGAGGCCAATGGGTGGGCCTTGGTGAGAAGTAGAGCGCAGACGTTTGCGAGGAGATTCCGCAAGCTCGTTGTTGTCATCTTGCACTTGGTACCGATTTTGAAGGCTGCCAAACCCGCCGTCGGACATGTTGTACATGCTCTGCTGGCTGCTGAACGCAAGCCCGGATTCCTGGCTGCTCATCTGCTGTGAGGGCTTGCGAGCCATGCTTGGTCGACGACTGTTAGAGCTAGGCGAGTCGAATCGAGCTTTGCTGAGGGCATTAACAGCGGTGGCGGCGGTTCTTGAGATATTTTGGAAGAAGGTTCCCTGCTGCGGTTGTGAAGCGCCGCGATTCTCCCCGCCGTTATAAAGGCGCTTGCGCTGCGCCGCCATTGCTTGTTCTTTGGTTGGTGTATCTATTGTCGATTCGTGGGCAGGAGCTCCGGAACCGTCAGGATTCATGTCGTACTCCAGCAGTGGCCGGAGTGATTCTTCAACGTGGTACTCTCTGCAAAGGTCGACGCCTCGTTGGTAGTTAACCCACGTCCCCTGGTATTTCCCGTAACCGCCTTGTACTTTCTCGTGTTCACCAGCCGCAATTTCTTTTTCGAGAGTCTTCGTTCGTCTCGCTTTCACGACACCAGCGACTTTCAAAATTTGCGTAGCGTTCAACCAAGAATCAGATCGACGTTTCATTACAGCAACACCATTCACTTCCATTTCATAGACAGCGACATTAGAGTAGACAGCCTATTTTGAGCCTCGTCAGTGGCACACTCTGTAAGTGTAGATAAGGACCACGAACTCGGTAAATCTGTGGTTTGAACTCCTCCTGATATGACATTACCGACCCATAGTCGTTGGCTCCGTCGTATCCCCCAAAGCTAGTTCGTGTGAGGCCGTTGGAGTAACCGAAAGAGGACATCTGAGATCCTTTCGGGGGTGGAGGAGTTGCGCGAGGGGTGGAGGAGAGGGATTGCGAAGCATTCAACAGGTTGTAGGCCATTCCATTAGACCCTGTACTGCCCTGTGAATATGACATGCTGAAATTCTAGATAATGTCAGTGTACAAATCGGGTAATGATGGGGTAGAGTGCATAGCAAGGGGATAGATACCGGATGTCGGTTGGAATGACGCGAACTCAAGGAGGCGCGTGGCTAACCCTCTGGAGGGGAACCGTAAGCCAGGCCAATTTGCATTCAAAGCCACAAAGCGACCGAACGAGGTGTCAAGTAGAGATTGAGAAATTAAGATCCGAGGCTCAATGCAAGGCAAGGCAAGGCAATGGTCGCGGGGTTTGGGGGGAGAAACTGCGAAATTGGCGCGTCGAAGTTCCCGTGACACGCATTCGCCAAGGATTTCGCGTTTCTCCGTTTTGGGGTTTCTTTTTTTTCCACTTCACGATTGTAATAAAAAGGGCTTATTCCTAATGGCCGGACCACAACCTCAGCATTGGGTACACAATCTTTCAAAGCCACAGCAATGGCGCCATTTATTTCGCGCTACGCTGCGCGAATGTACCTACCTACCTGACCCCATCGCTCGCAACTACATGAAGAATCATATCATCTCCCGATATCGTGATGTTTCCTCCCGTTCCCCAAAGGCTGGTCCAAAGGCGGTTCACGCGGCAAGAAATGCGTTGTCGGTTTTACGGCGAGCAAACGAAGGCTACTCACGCCCTCTTGAAAAAGTGTTGTTCCTGTCATACGGTCGTATTGGGAGACGGCGACATGAGCTGCTGGCAAAAATTTTGACACCAGAAATTCCCAAAGACTCTTTGGCTCTCAAAGAGCTGCTCTCCCGGCCTGCCGACTACGGTGATGGTTGGGAACCCTCGGCTATCGTGAAAAGTCTCGCGGCCTCTCAAATGCAGAACACAGTGGTTACAGCAGCCCGCATCAGGCCGTTGATCAAACAATTAGAACCACCGATTCCCAAGAAAGACAGCTGGGGCAAGGAATTTGCTCAGTCTCGGAAGAGAAATATTCGGAGGCAATGGTACAATAACACATTGGGCAGTCTCCTTCCACCACTACCAGAGAAGGATCTCCAGATGCTTGAGGGACTCATCTCAGGAGCCGTGGCCTGGGAACCTCCGAAAAGGAGAAGTTCAAAGCCTCAGATTTCCCAGATCAAGCCTGGTGGCGAACTCTTCAAATTGCTGGCTAGGGGCCCTGAGAAGGGTACCACCTTTGCTGAATATGCCAATGGCCGGCCACATACAATTACAGTGAGGCTAATGCGTCGTCAATGGAGACGTCTTTCTGCTCTTGTGCCACGACAGTACTGGAATCCGATTTCACAAAAGTGGCGCTTTTTGTGGGATTCACCGAAGGAAGTCCCTAAGCTATCCTTCGATCTGGACAGTAGCATCGACCCAGAAACTTTTTTCAAAAAACTGTCCATTCAGGGGAAGAAAGACGAGGCTGAAGCGCATAAACCCTCTCGATAACAAAATATTAACCAATATAATAATACAAGATTTCGAATCCACTTATGTCCCTAGTCATTTTAATGTTCAAGTGCACCATGAGCGGAAACAAAGGGTTCTCTACCAGGCAGAAATTCAGGCTAACAAGCACCCCAGGATACCTCACCAACTAAGGCATAGTCGCATCATTCATGATTCAAGAATGTAACTTTGTTCATGAACTGTCAAGTAGTTAAGAATACAAATGCACATAATGAATGTGACGCGTAAAGGTCCTTGAGTTGCCCAAGAGAGTAAGCCCCAACGGGCCAAGTGCAACCAGAGCAGAAAAAGCAGCAGAGGAAAAGGGTAGGATATACAAAATGAGAAGGATAAAACAAATCACTGTACCCAACCACACCAAAACGGGGCGAGATCAATTAATCGCTATCAGAAGATGAGCTAGAGCTGCTGGACCTCGAGCTCTTCCGCTCGTGCTTTTTATCCTTCTTATGCTTCTTCTCTTTCTTGTGCTCCTTGTGTTCCTTGCCACTATACCAGAGCAACAATCAGTTTCGTCCCAACCCAAAAGACCAACAAAAGTATAGCGCAAAGGGGCAAGACTCACAGCTTAGTTGCGATATTCATCCCAACCGCACCCAAAACAGCACCGCCAGCAGTACCAAGCATTCCATGGCCAAGCTTATTGCCCATGAACCCACCAGCCGCGCCACCTAGCAGCGTCGACCCGAGGCCCCTGTCACCCTCCGGTCCAACAGCACCAGGCTGTCCTTGCTGGTGTGGGGGAGCGCCACCATAGTACGTGGAGCTCTCGCCACCGCCATTTCGTGGATACTGCTGTTGCTGGGGAGGCTGGCCGTATCCAGGACTGCCTTGAGGAGGATATTGGCCCTGCTGGTGCTGTGAGGGGTATGTTTGGTAGCTTTGGCCGCCTTGTTGCTCATAAGGTCCTGGATGTTGGCCTTGTTGGGGCTGATTGTAAGCCTGCTGGCCCTGCAGCGCGATAGGTTAGTCATGATCGCTACGGTGCAAATATGAGAGCAGAGAGAATGAGAGTTTGGGCACTGTGCGACTCGGTTCTGTGTTACGGTTTGTTATGTGCTATGTGCATAAGCTCACCTCTGGTGGATAATAGCCTGGCTGTGGTTGAGGGGGATGTTCTTGGCCTTGTTGATCATAGTAACCGGCACCGCCGCCGTATTGATTCTGTGGTGGTCCACCGTACGACATATTGGGTATCGGGTCTTTAAGAGGTGGTTATTTGGCAAGTTTTAGGTAGGATGATAGTTAGGTATCGAGATTTAGGATGAGCGGAACAGGAAGGAGATCTCTGGGGATGACCTGACAATAAATACACGGCATCAGCGGGGCTCCCGGGGCTGAGCGGGAAACTGGGCACCGACTCTCAGGGGGCCTGAGAGGGTTTCCAGGTCGACACAGCCTCCTTGTCATCTGAGAATGTGGCTTAACCTTTCTTCAGTTGAAATAGGGAACCAATGAGCATGTCTCCATCTGTTTGGCTGTGGGCCTTTACACCATTCGGCATTTGGCATCTATTCACGCCAGTTAACGCCAAGACTGTTGCCCCACATTTGACAGGCTCCTACAAGGAACCGAGGAGCAGTCCTGATTTGATAGATATTTATAGACCAGAGAGACCTAAGTGGCGGATCATCAGATAGTACATCTAGTTCATTGTACATTCAGTATGGTCGTTTGAACTTGACGGTCAGTATATTAAAAGGTCCATTGCCTTGATGCATACATTAATCTGCTTCAGGTTCGGAGGTATTATCGACTTTACACTGAACAATATTCTGCCAACCTGTTCTCCTACCAGTATAGAAAGGGGTAGGACACAAACCTTGCAGGCGCAGTCAATTCGATGGAGCTTGGTAAATACGAAGGGGCTTCGATCAATGGTCCAATAGAACAATACGATAACCCTCGTCATGCGGCTTGCAGTTGTTCCATGCCGAGATATAAGTACTCCCCACCTATGCTATCGCCCTCCAAAATGGAATCGAGATCTTGAATTAAAAGTCATCTATCAAGTCCGCTTTGAACTTTTTGATTGCTAGCGAAAGAAGTTGAAGGGTCGAAAGAATCGTTCCACCCGTCGTAGTCTTCTCCACATTCAGCCTAGCTTGACGATTTTGTCCCCAGGTGCTTGAGACTAGGCTCTAGGTCTTCTTCAATAACTAGATCTAAAATTCGCATTATTTCAACTAGTCTCTCTGGTACTATGTCGAGGTAAGGCCCGATGATGCCAGTGTACTTGGAGAAGACAATGTGAACATGTTTGATGGTCAGGGAGATGATTTTCAGCCCTATGAACGTCCTGTTCAATGGTTAGCTTGCTGTTGAGATGCAGAACCTGGCTTAGATGTTCTGTGGTCACTTGGGCGATACCTTGGAAGGATAAGAAGATGCTACAGAAATTACTGAGCTCCCTCACGCGATCGCCCGCACTCCCCCCCCTGGATATATTCCCAGCCGGCATTTTTGTTTCCCAAAGGTTGATGGCAAAAGATGTCGTTTGAGTAAATTTAGGGTGGGATTCGAGCATCTAGCGAATTCCTTTTCACCTCTCGATTTGTGACTCATTCAATGCACATCTTTCATGTACCACTGGAGCACTCCGGATCTTGTCAAAGTAGAGACTGGAACCACTCAAATTTGCTACAAAACCTTTGAAGTGACCAATTCACTATGCTAGCCCAGGAAACCTCTATCGCCTTGCTTCCTAATCAAAATAAAGATCGACAACCGTCGCCAAGCAGCATATCAGCGACTTGCCCATTTAGCCGTGTAGTCCCGAGAAGTTGAGACTCTTCCAGGCATGTAACACCCGAGGGAAAAATGGACGCCAATAGCAAAGTAAAGCCAGGAGCTAAGGATTCGATCTCGCTTATGGAGTACATACATGCAGGGTAACCAAGCATGTAAGTGTGAGCGTGGCGATGCAAAAGCTTTCTTGCCAAAGGCATGACATTTGTTGGCACCACAGCCAAGAACTGACTCGCGCTTGAGATGTCGGGTCCTATACGATTAGAGAGTTGAGAATCCCGAGGAAAGGGAGCACGTGTACTAAGTACTCCATGGTAAAAGATCATCGTCCACCAGTAACGGGTATGTTCGGGGAGCCGAACATGTGGCCACGCACCGTCCTCCAATGCTTGGCAATCTACGATCCACCTGGGTAAAGTCTTATTTCAGAGAAATCCTGCAAAGCAGTAATGAGCTGCAGGATCATTGAAATTGCCCAGGCTTGGAGACCTATTACACTATGCTATGAACAGCTGTGGATCATGTAGGTGTTTCTCCTAAAAGTGCCATGAGAAGCCTAAGGTCTAGGTACTTTGTATGTGGCATTTACTCGTTTAGAAAAGCAACCGGCGATCAGCAGAGTGACCTATTAGATCGAGACAAAAGGCTGACAGAAGGTATCACAGCCGACCCGGCTTGAAAGGAAGTCCAAAGAAGCGGCTACTGTGGGGGACTTCTCCAACATTTCTCTCCCCTTTTGAACCCCACCTGTGGTCTGTGCAGAGGGTCCGGAGTATGTCTTCGTGTTGAGATGGAACTAAAGTGAGCATACTTCCCTGCCTATATTGCTATTAGATGCAGTCATCTACTGAATCTGAAAATACAGACCGGAAGGAAGTGCATAGCTCCCAAAGAAGCCTAACGAGAACATGATCTAGAAGGGCGTAGAAATTAAAAAAAAGAGACAAAGAGTTCCGTAAAGAATTCACAAAGAGCAATTGTGAGCTCCGTGCCTTGCATCCATCTGTATGACCTGCTGGATTCATCGTGCCAGTACGGATTCGTTAGAAACCTTTTCCAACGTTTCCCCAGAAGGACTATCGTTTTCCGGTGCCAACACCCCACAAGTGTATTTTGCTCGGCGGCTGAGCTTAGACTGGCCTTCTTCGTGCCCGTCCCCGACTCCAGGTTGCTGACCCGCGAGGTAAGCGAATAGGGCCACGTCATATCCCTGCATTCGGCGGGACCGCAGACGTCGGGGGTCATTCGTTTGCTTCCTTTCGTTCCTTGGGATGCCTGCTAGGCTCGCTGACCATAGCGGAGAGAGGAGGCGGGGCTCTCGCGCGGCTTTTAGAGCTGCGTTGACCCCCTTGTTTCGCCTTCTGATCTATCTGTTTTCTCTCCTTTTGGACTTTGCGCCAGGATTCGGCTTACTCTCCGATTCACCGGTACTCCAAGGGCTTCAGCAGTTATGGACAAGGGAGATCCTCAGCTTGCGGCGACATCCTCGCCGGATGTCGAGGAGAATATGAGTATCGGCCGCTACGTCACAACTCGCATTTCTTCTCTGGTGCCTCCAATGAATCCCGCGCCAAACCCATTCAAGGCTTTGACACTACTTAACCGGGCTCAGTGGCTCAATTTCTTGGCATGTAGATCTTTTTGTAGGGCTAATGGGCAAAAAAAAAGACTTTGGCTAACCCCCCGAGCCCAACAGGTCGCGTTTTTTGGCTGGTCTTGGGATTCTTTTGACTTCTTTACCGTTTCACTCACTACCTCTGAGCTTGCAAAGTCATTCGGCAAGTCTGTGACCGACATCACATGGGGAATCACCCTGGTTCTGATGCTGCGATCCGTCGGCGCGATCACCTTCGGAATCGCCTCTGATAGATGGGGCCGCAGATGGCCATTCATCGTCAACCAGCTCCTCTTTGTGGTCCTCGAGCTCGGCACTGGTTTCTGCCAAACTTATGAACAGTTCCTGGCTTGTCGTGCCTTGTTTGGAATTGCCATGGGTGGCCTGTACGGCAATGCAGCTGCTACAGCGCTTGAGGATTGTCCGCCTGAAGCCCGCGGTATCATTTCGGGATTCTTGCAGCAAGGGTACGCTCTTGGGTATCTGTTAGCCACAGCCGCCGCCAGAGGTCTTGTCGACACCACATCGCATGGCTGGCGGCCGCTGTTCTGGTTCGCGGCTGGTCCACCAGTCTTGATAATTATCTTCCGGTCTTTCCTAGGTGAAACCGAGACTTTCCGTCGACGTCAGGAAGCACGGCAGGAAGCATGGCAGGAGGTGCGCGGAGGGGTTGCGGCCTCGTTCATGTCAGAAGGGAAGGTGGCACTGCAGCGACATTGGCTGATGCTCATGTACCTGGTTCTGCTAATGTCTGGGTTTAATTTCATGGTATGTGATAATCTGAATTGTTTGCCATTCACTTCACAGATGAAACTAACCCGGAGACTAGTCACATGGATCTCAAGATCTGTACCCGACCATGCTGGTGAATCAGTTTAAATTCTCAAAGAATGCTGTCACTGTCACTCAAGTCGTCGCCAACTTGGGCGCTTTGTCGGGTGGCATATTGTGCGGTTGGGCCAGTCAGATCTTCGGCCGCCGGTTCTCCATCATCGTCATCTCGATCATCGGCGGCGCCCTTCTCTACCCCTACACGTTTGTCCAGAACAAGAACGTTATTGCCGCAGCCTACTTCGAGCAATTCATGGTCCAGGGCGCATGGGGTGTAATCCCCATCCACCTAATGGAACTATCGCCAGGCTCTATCCGCACCTTTGCCGTTGGCACCGCCTACCAGCTCGGGAACCTGGTCTCCTCCGCTAGCTCGACTATTGAGTCAACCATCGGTGAACGATTCCCTCTGCCTCCAACCAAAGAAGCCGCTCATCGCTACGAGTACGGCAAGGTCATTTGTATCTTCATGGGCTGTGTCTTTGCCTACGTCATTCTGATAACAATTGCTGGACCAGAGCGTTTGGGTCGTAACTTCGATGCTGAGCATGATGCGGATCCCCAGCAGGTTGCTGCTCACCGCGGCCTCAACAACAAGGAGGACGTTGAGGAAGATATTGAGAAGACTAGGACCACGATTGTGCCGTAGGCTTGCTAGGGGACCTTAGGAACTGCTGTGATCGCTAATGCCCACGCGATGACTGATGATTGCTGTGTCTTTCGGGACCTTGCAATGACTTGGGACTTTTCAAGTGAGAGAATGCGAAGGAACATCTGGAGTGAGATCTTTGGATCAATCAATCAATCAATTAATCAAAGTTCAATTAACCTGTTGCAGTCTAACTAGTTGCGTATGACTATGCAGGCGCTTCTCCAACCGAAGCAAGAACTCAAAACCTAACGCCGAGCGGGATCGCTCCCAAAGTATACAGATGAAGCCGAAGTGAAGAGTGCAGAATCAGCCTATTCCCGTAACCCGTTTAACCTATAAACGCAAAACTATGCCCAAACCTATACATAAGAAATCATTTGATGAACGCAGTGGAGTGCCCCCTCTACTTCAATCTCTCACTCCCCTCTCACTTCTATACCTCGCTTCTCTCTACTTCCTCCCCCTACCTTAGTTTCAGTTAATAGTGACGTTCTTAGTGGCTAGTTCTTTGGTATATTTGGTATATTTGGTATCCCTAGCTAAGTTTCTCGCGTCACAGCTTTATTTTCGTCCTTGGCTAAAACCTATCGTCTTCTATGCCTAGATCTATTACCGTAAGGCCTATCGGTTCGTCGTTATCCTCGATTCTAGCGTATCGGAATTGCTAGAGCAGACCTATTTAGTGTATAAAGTTGACCACGTAGCGGGTAGCCTACGGGTTCGAAACGATCTTCTCGTAATCTATCTCGTTAATCCCAATGTCCCACAATTACTTCTAAAGCTTTATACACGGTGTCAGGGTGCGGGCTGGCAGGACGGTATGATAGGAGATGCCTGGTAGGAACAGGTCGTAACATATCAGATTCCACTTGACAGGTACAGGCAGGGGCAGGCTATTATACAAGACGTAGCTCCCAGAGCTACAACAGGATCGAGAACTGAAGTTCAGATAAACAGGTCGGAGATCACGTGTCGTGATCTTCCTCTTACTAAGCATCACGGTTCGCACCGTGACAGCGGCCCCCTAAAAGGGGCGGCTACGCACTCCCCGGCAGCACCATGCTCGGACCAATATAGGATTGGTATCAAGAGATGTAGCCGGAAGTTACTCTTAACTTACAGTTAAAATGGAGGCTGTAGCCCAAGGCGTTGTGGTGCAGTTTCAAAAATTTGATTCGCGCAAAGATATGTGTTTTTCATGTTGAGATATTTGGACAAGATAATGGATTTGCGTCCAATGGTTCAATTTTTCTCGCTTTCGCTTTGTGTTGTAGATTGACGTCGGCAGTGCGCGCTCTCGTGTATTTTTGTTTGGTTGCCCAGTGAGTGCAAGTCGAAGGTAAGCGGGGTATCTCCCAACGGCTTTGCTGCACATTTGGGCAAAAGTAGATAGTCAGTCACGCCAAGAATATCAGTCTGTCTAATCAATTTGTGCTCATTCTGACGCACAAGCCAGCCTTCGTGTATCGTATACCGTGTGTCTTCATTTCCTCGGACATGGAGGAATCAAGTCGTCCACCTCTACTGGATGTGCAAAGTGATGATCCTTGACAAACTGCAAGACTCTCGGTAGAATATAGGTAGTGGTGAGGACAGAAGTAGGTACCCAGATCAAAAGCACATTAAGCGTGAGACCTAGAAGGCTCTTCTTTCTAGTGCAGGGATTCGTCCTTCCAGCCTAAAAACTCGCACAGGTCCACAATTTTCGAATTCAATTAAAACCAAGTCCGAACACAAAGGACCGATGTAAAAAAAAACCGGGTTTCTGATAGACTACTGGGTTAGTTACTGGGTTAGTTATACCATGGGTTGAATCTGGACGTGATGCTATACTAGCATAGCATTGTCAGGGCTTGTCACGTCATTGCTCCTTATAAACAGAGTCACATTGTTCAAAGACGAAGGATACATAGGGGTCCACAGTTAACCTGAGCCTCCAGCTATTTTCAGAGATTCCAAAATTGTCTACTGATCAAATGCGACCTCTAATCTCTATGTGGGATACCATTTACAATGGCAAGAAGCATTTGCCTAAAGTCTTACTATGTGGCATACGCGTCCTGCAGGAACATTATGATGGGAATACACGGTTGCCTGTTGTGGTAGTCCTAGTGCGTCTATGCATCAGACCTTGACATTTTCCTATATCTCGATCAAATCTCTATTAAAAATGACTCAAAGATTGAATTTAAGATGTAAGCCATTCTCGATATAGGCTTGTTCTGTCGTAGCTTCAACTAGGGCTATATGCTAAGTCTGTGATGCCAAGCCAACGATGCCAATTGCGTCGAAAAAAAAAAAAAAGAAGACAAGCATCTCAAACCCGGTGGAGATTTTTAGTCAAACTCCGAAGAGACTAAAGATTGGAAGAAACAGTTCTGGATTTCCCAAAGACCTGCCGGTACCCACAAAAAAAAAGCACTTTCAGGGACTGTCAGGGACAGAGGCCTTTTCTCCGCCAAGGCCCAGACAAACCTCCAACCGCCCCGGCTTCCATTCTTGTCTTCCCCCATTCCCACCCCTTTTATTCCCCTCGTTCCTTACTCATTAAGGGTTTTCTTGCGAGGTTTAACCCCCTGCGCCAAGACCCTGTCTGTGTGTGCTGGATGAAGTCCCGGCTCCGCCTTCTCCAATGCACAGACGCTCGTCGGGATCCCCTGTCGAGGACGAAGATTCCTCGATCTCCCGAACAGACGATGGAAATGCCATTGATGAGAACACGCGATCTCAAATAGCTAGGCGTGGCACCAGCTCTGACCTCTGCCGCGAAGGCAGCGCGACACCGCGCTCCCGGAACTCGAGTATGTGGCGGACCCCATCTTCCCAACCTTCCAACGATACCAAACCGATGCCATTGGGCTCCCCCCGACTTCTGATGGAAGTTCCCTCTCCCGAAGGTCGTCGTGCGCGGCAATCACGCCAACGCAGTCCATGGTCTTGCTCCATTCTGACGGCTTTCACAACTTGCGTTGCGGTCGCGTTCTTGATCTCCATTGTCATCTCATTCACCGGTCGGCAACATGGCGGAGATGGTTGCGGTGTTCCAATGATGAGTCCGACGTTTATTCGTATGTTGGAGTTCGACACGGAGCATACTCGCTTTGCAAGCAAGTACAATCTCTTCGTTTATAGGGAGGAAGGCGTGGACCCTTACACCCAGGATAACATCGGGGTACGGTGGCCCCGGACTCGGTGCATGCGCTTGGATTCTAGTGCTGACCCGTATGTTTAGTTGAACGGTGTGCCGGTTTTGTTTCTTCCCGGGAACGCTGGAAGCTACCGTCAAGTCCGATCGTTGGCCGCCGAGGCTTCGCGGCATTACTACGATGTCGTCCGACACGACGAGAGCCGACATGCGGCTGGAACTCGGAGCTTGGACTTTTTTATGGTGGACTTCAATGAGGATATGGCGGCATTCCACGGACAAACGCTCTTGGATCAAGCGGAATACGTGAATGAGGCGATCTCATACATCCTATCACTTTACCACGATCCGCGACGCACTCGCCGAGATCCAGGATTACCGGATCCCAGCGCAGTCATCCTTATCGGACACTCAATGGGCGGAATAGTGGCACGGGCCTCTCTGACTATGGCAAACTACCAAGCCAATTCAGTCAATACGATCATCACGATGTCTGCACCTCACGCAAAACCGCCGGTCTCCTTCGATTCCGACATCGTCCACACCTATAAACAAATCAACGATTATTGGCGTGACGCCTATGCGCAGACATGGGCTAACAACAACCCACTGTGGCACGTCACTCTCATCTCCATTGCTGGTGGGGCGCGTGACACGGTGGTGCCCTCCGACTATGCTAGTATCTCCTCTCTTGCTCCCGAGACACATGGGTTTACTGTCTTCACCTCGTCTATCCCGGATGTCTGGATTGGCATGGATCATCTATCGATTACTTGGTGCGACCAGTTCCGCAAGGCTATAATCAAATCCTTGTTTGAGATCGTCGACGCTCGACGCCCTACTCAAACAAAACCACGGGCAGAGCGGATGCGGGTGCTTAAGCGGTGGTACTTGACGGGTCTGGAGTCAGTGGCTGAGCGTACCCTGCCGCAAAAGGAAGCAAATACCCTTTTGACCCTTGAAGATAACGCAAACACCATTCTTGCGCAGGGCCAACGGCTGGTCCTGCGCGAACTGGGGCTGCGGCATGGCCCGGATGTTCGTCTTTTACCAATCCCTCCCCAGGGCGTTTCCGGTAAAAAGTTCACCCTGCTCACGGACCAATCGCTTGATAAGAGTGGCAATATTGAGGTCCTCTTCTGCAGCGTATTCCCGCTCTCTAATGGCCGTTCAACCAACTTCCCATTGAATTTAGATTTCTCTGGTGGCACTGTGGGCTCAACCCGTTTGGCCTGCAAGAGCGCGGCTGAGGACAGTATTCACTTGCCTGCCTCAACCCGCTCATCGAAACATGCTTACGATCGCACCGCGCCGTTCTCGTATCTCCAGTACGACTTGGAGGCTCTCGCGGAACACCAGTTTGTGGCTGTCGTGGATAAGGCTAATGTACCGACTTCAGGCTTTCTTGTCGCCGAGTTTTCCGACAGCTCGGATGCAATGATTCGGGCCAAGGTAGGATTGGGAGGACTCCTCAGTGCTGGTCTGAAGATGCGGTTACCCGCGATCCGGCCCATGCTTATGGAGGTGAAGATCCCCGCACTGTATTCGAGTCTGCTCGACTACCGGTTGAAGATCACTCGCCATCCTCAGAAGGAGGAGTTGTTCGCTCCATTGCTCCGACAATCCGTCTCTGATCCTCATGAGTCGAAATTTTTCGTTAATGTCAATGAGGTCAATGTGAACCTGCACGGTGTGGCGCCGTACATGCCACCTGCAATTAGCGAGCAGGCTGCTCTTGGGGGCGTGTCATTTCACCTGTGGACGGATCCAACCTCTGACTCGACGGTCGACATCTCCCTTCAAGTCGATCTCACCAGCAGTCTTGGTGAGCTAGTGATGCGGTATCGAACCATCTTTGCGGCGTTCCCACTGCTCGTCGTTGCCCTTGTTCTTCGAAAGCAGTTCCAGGTCTACGATGAAACTGGTTACTTCATTCCGTTCACCGACGGCCTTGATCGGGCATTGCGGTCTTCGTTCCCGCTTCTCCTTGTGGCCATGTCTCTGCTGGCCTCATCCCTGGCTACCTCCAAAGCCCTGCCTCAGACCGACGAAACGCTCCACTGGCGGTCCAACTCGACCGAGACTCCCGTTGACTTCACCAAAAATGATCTCTTGCTTGGCTCACAAGATGCTTTCTTCTGGTTCTTAGTCCCAATATTCGGTCTGATCAGCGTTGGCGTCTGCATTCTTGTCAACTATCTCATCCTCTTCCTGGTGAACATTTTCTCCTTGGTCTATGGGGTCCTACACAGCAAGTCAGGCTATATCCGGCGAGAGGACCGAGGAAACCTGCCCATATTCCACACCCCTACTCCCCGCCGACGCATCATCCATACCGCGATCCTTCTGATGCTTGTCTCGACTGTCATCCCCTACCAGTTTGCCTATATGGTCGCCTGTATTGTGCAACTAGCCACATCTGTGCGGGCACAATGGCACGCCAAGGAAACCAGGTCCACCTCACACCTGAACTTCGACAACTATGCACACTCCATCTTGATCCTGATGTTGTGGGTCTTGCCAATCAACGTGCTAGTCCTCCTGGTTTGGGCCCACAATCTTGTCGTGCACTGGTTCATGCCGTTCTCATCTCACCACAACGTCTTATCTATAATGCCCTTCCTCATCCTTGTCGAGACTATGACTAGCGGCGCTATGATACCGCGCATCACGACCAGGTATGTAGAGGGTCATGTCTCACAAATCCTGAGCTAATAATTCAACCTCCGTCCCAGATTCAGACACGTCACCTCAATGATATTCTTCGCCATCGCCATCTACTCGGCGATCTACGGCGTCTCCTACGCGTATCTCCTCCACCACCTCGCCAACCTTCTCGCGGCGTGGTTCGTTGGGATCTACCTATTCGGTAACAACTTTTCACTTCGCCGTCTGTGGCGTATTATCGATGGCGACGAGCCCCCATCCGAAACAGGGAGTAGTCACGTTAAGAAGAAGCCATGAGAGTTAAATATGTCTGTTGTCCTAGTTCTACTTCTTTGGTTGGTTTGGTTTAATTTTTTTTTTTTGCCACGGAGTTGCGCCGCGCATAGGGGTCTGGAGTTACGAGCGTTTTCACCTTTTTGTACAGACATCGGGGTTTTTCTCCCCAGCGATTTTACGCATGTCGATGTCCCCAATTTTTCTCTGTCTTCACCCCAATCCTTAAATCTCCCATCACCACTTGTCACGACACCCCATCCACGAGGCCGCGTTTTCCCCCGTGAGAATCATCGGAACCTTGTGGTGCTACTCGACTCTCGCAGACCCCCAAATTTCAGACTCTGTTCTCTGGTCTGGCGGGGTGATATGACGAAGTCTTGTATATATCCCGGTGTGCTTTTTTTCTATCTCTCTTTCGTTTTATTGTTCGACAACTATCTGAACATAGATTTGCGGGATGCAAGGACCGACTGATTCTACTTGTAGGTTCTGGACGTACTCATGGTTCTGTGTGTGTTTTATTCCTGGTTTATAGAGTTGTATATGCCCACATGCTTAATTACCTTACCACTTAACCCTTTTAATTCCTGGTGACTGATTGCTTCGCATGAGGCAAGATCAATTCGATCTCATTACAGGCTTGTCCTCTTGTTGAATGTCTGTCGATGCCACTTCTCAAGAAACTTGAAAAGTAAGTAGGATGTGAAATGCAGCGAAGGGGATTTTTGACAAAGTACAATGCACAATGGATGAACCCGGCCAGCGAGGCCGGCCCTCCGATAGTCTGTCCCTCTTACCTCTTTGTTTTCCCCGCCTCTTCTAAGTGATCGGCGATCATCCTAGATCAACCCCTGGAAGTATGTATGTATCAGAGAGAAAGGGAAGGGTCTACGTGCCCTGTCCGGGACCTGGGCAACCAAGTACGTCAAAAGGAGCCTTGATAGCAAAAAGAAAGAAGAAAAAAAAAGGAATCATTACAAGCATAACTCTGCATTGAACTAGACCATCACAAAGGGGTTAGACCTAGTGAGGTGAAGATTCGCCTCCGTTCCCCGTCAGATAAACATTTGGGGCACCGGGCACAGATAACATGCCGGATCCACTCTTTAAGATCAATTCCATATGCCCGGATGCCGGCAGATGACACCTGACTACTAGCATGGTCAACATAGTATACTGTAGAACAGCCATATACCGAGGTGTACGATGTAGATGTGATGACCTCGCCTCGACGTAGACGAGATGCCAAGTGGCGTGGGAACGCCACAACTTTTAGCGAAAACAAGACGGAAAAGGAACGAGAATGAACTTAGGTTCCTTCCAGAAGCAAAGCCTGTTTTGGGTTGAACGGAATTTCAGGGAAGCTGATTCGTTTGCGGAAATCTCGGATTCCTACGGAGTGGCCATCTACTAAACGGAAGATGGTTTTTTTTCTAGTGAGCGTTGCTGAACTCTGGAAAGCAAGAAACTTGGTAGATGTCCAGATCCACTGGTCTGGTTGAGCTGATTCTCTTTTGGTCTTCTTAGGGGGATTTTTTCCGGCTCTTGCTGATCGTACTTCATTTTGTATGTCGTTCAGAGTTTGGGAGGGACTTTTTGCCACCCGAATCCTTTCGCGGGGGATAAGGATAAAGGCACAGGCTGCAATAACCCCCCCAACAGGGACGACAGATCTTTTGTTCTAGGTGGTTGCATGTGATGTTAGTAGTGTAATGTACTCGGTACAACTGGTGAGAGCCAAATCTCTCTTACTTGGACAAGGCTTGGGATTTCTTTTTGCACACTCGCGATAAGCGATAAGACAATTCGAGCGGTGAAAAACATTTAGGACATCCCGTGGTCGATATTCGTCTCTAATTGGACGTACAAAGAGAATTATTATACAAAGTACAGCTGATACAGCATGGCTGCGAAGGGCCATTGAAAAAAACTGTTGTTTAGGTTTACCACAATGATTCTTATTCCAACTGATTTCTGGCTGAGATTATACTCAACTTTGACCTCCATGTCTAGTGCATGTAGAGATTTGGATGGGATGCATATCTTAAGCATCCGCAGTTGATACGGAGACAACAAGTCCGGTCTGACGGACGAATACCAGACTGATAATCGGAAGAATATTCAACATCCTGGCAACTCTAAAAATATGCAACTACCTGGAAGAAAACTCGAGTTTCTTAATTGGCTGTTTGAATGGCACTACGCCACTCGGTCATGGGTGGCGAAGGGCGACTCGCGCGCTTCTGGCCGGCTCTACGACATGATTGATACAACGAGAATAGGAGTGCTAGTACCATTGTATGAAACTAGACTATCCCCGGATGTATCACCTAGAGGATTAGGCATATAGAACATGTGATAGAAGATGTGATGAAACTTGAGGTGATAATCAGAGTAGTTCAGATGAGATTGGCTTTACATCTTAGTGGAGGAATAACTTAGGATCTACTACCACAACTCTGGAGTTCAGATCTCCAAAAAGCGATTTGATCAATTCGACAATGTTCTAAACTAAGAATGTCAAATAACTAAAAAAATTAAAAATTTGAAATTTAACAAAAAGCCACCTACTAAGCCAAATACATCCACCCAACGGATTGAACCAATCAAAGAGAGTGGAGCTGGGCAAGAGCAGGACTTAGCCCAATAAGGGTGCGGACACGGGGCCGCTAAACCCGATCAGGGACTAGTGCGGGACGATGGGCCTGAAAATTTTAAAAAAAAATTTCGATTGCCATTTCATAGGGTTTTGCCGCCCAGGTTATGCCACACGATAAATATCCTCGCCCCCCCTTCCCTTCTCGCCCTCCTCTCCTCCACTCCTGCATCTTTTTTTTCGAGGGTCGGCCTCTTTCTTTTTTTTTTGTTTTTTCTACTCTGCATAGACAGAATAGAAAAAGTTACGCTCCAATCTTTGAGCGCTTGCGTCTGAAAATTTGACGCAGTTGAGTCTTTTGCTCACCGAAAAAAAAATTCTACGATACCCCTCATAGAAAAAAACAGGAAAGATTTTTCTTTCTTTACTCTAATACCCCTTTCTCTTTCCCAACCCAAACTTTCATCATGCCTGCCGCCAACGTCGCCGCCTCTCCTGCCGTCACTGGTAAGGAGACCGCCCAGTCGGTTGCTGTCCTCGAGGACCTCATCAAGAACCTCAACCTGTCCACCAGCGCCGATGAGACCAATGCCGCTGCTAGCAACCTTGCCACTCTCTTCAGCGGTCCCACCGCCGAGCAGGCTCTCTCTCTGAAGGCCACCGAGATCTTCAAGAAGCAGCTCGCCAACAAGAAGGATGCTACCGCCCGCGAGCGTGCTTGCGAGGGTATCCGTGCTATTGCCTCCCACTCCACAATCGCTCCCGGTGTTGAGCCTCACCTCGTCGCTCTCCTTGGCCCCGTCCTCGCCACCGTTGGTGACAAGATGGTCCCCGTTAAGCAGGCGGCCCAGTCCGCCGCTGCCGCTATCGTCGAGGCTGTTAGCGGTAACGCCGTCAAGGCCGTTATCACTCCTCTCCTCGATTCCCTCGCCAACGCCCAGAAGTGGCCCGAAAAGATGGCCGCTCTCGACTGCCTCAACATCCTTGTCGAGTCTGCCAAGATGCAGCTCGGCTACCAGGTTCCTACTCTGATCCCCGTCATCTCCGAGGCTATGTGGGACACCAAGTCCGATATCAAGAAGGCTGCCTACTCCACCATGGAGAAGGTTTGCGGTCTGATCGTCAACAAGGATATTGAGCGTTTCATTCCTGAGCTCATCAAGTGTATCTCCAAGCCCGAGAACGTCCCCGAGACCGTTCACTTGCTCGGTGCCACCACTTTCGTCAGTGACGTCACTGGCCCTACTCTCGCTATTATGGTTCCCCTGCTGGACCGTGGTCTCGTTGAGCGTGAGACCGCCATTAAGCGTAAGACCGCTGTCATTGTCGACAACATGTGTAAGCTCGTGGAGGACCCCCAGCTTGTCGCTCCCTTCTTGCCTAAGATGTTGCCCGGCTTGAACAAGAACTTCGAGACTCTTGCCGACCCCGAGGCCCGTGAGAAGACTCGCCAGGCTCTTGACACCCTCTCCCGTGTTGGTAACGTTGTTGACGGCAAGATTCCCGAGGTCTCCCGCGCTGGTGACATCTCCACCGTCGCTGCCATCCTCAAGGAGATCCTCGAGGTTAAGCACAAGGACATCATCCCCACCTCCGAGCAGGCCATCAACTACGTTGCTGCCATCGCCGCTCAGCTCGTTGATGAGAAGGAGAACGACCACGTCATCTGGACCCAGAACACCATTCCTTACATCACTGCCATCGTTGGCGAGGCTGATGCTAAGTCTATCGCCGAGGAGCTCCGCAAGAAGGCTTGCCCCGATGCCGCCGCTGCCGATGCCATCGCCTCCGACGAAGAGGAAGGTGTTGACCTTTGCAACTGCACATTCTCCCTGGCCTACGGTGCCAAGATTCTGCTGAACCAGACTCACCTGCGTCTCAAGCGTGGCCAGCGTTACGGTCTCCTTGGCCCCAACGGTTCTGGAAAGACCACTCTCATGCGTGCTATCAACAACGAGCAGCTCGAGGGTTTCCCCAAGAAGGATGAGGTTAAGACCGTCTACGTCGAGCACGATCTCGACTCCGCCGACACTGAGCAGACCGTTATTGCCTGGACCCAGAAGAAGCTTGCTGAGGTCGGACAGAACCCCCCTCGTGAGGAGCTCGAGTCCAAGCTCGTCAACGAGTTCGGTTTCTCCGAGTTCCAGATCCAGGGTCCCATCACTGCCCTCTCCGGTGGTTGGAAGATGAAGCTCGCTCTCTGCCGTGCTGTTTTCGAGAGCCCCGACATTCTCCTGCTTGACGAGCCCACTAACCACTTGGACGTCAAGAACGTCGCATGGCTCGAGAACTACCTGAAGAACTCTCCTTGCACCTCCATCATGGTGTCTCACGACTCCAAGTTCCTTGACAACGTCATCCAGCACGTCGTCCACTACGAACGCTTCAAGCTCCGTCGTTACCGCGGTAGTCTCTCCGAGTTCGTCAAGCAGCACCCCGCTGCTAAGTCCTACTACGAGCTCGGTGCCTCCGAGATGGAGTTCAAGTTCCCCGAGCCTGGTTTCCTTGAGGGTGTCAAGACCAAGTCCAAGGCTATCTGCCGTGTTAGCAACATGTCCTTCCAGTACCCCGGTACTCCCAAGCCCCAAATTCACGGCATTACCTTCCAGGTCTCCCTTGGCTCTCGTATTGCCGTCATCGGTGCCAACGGTGCTGGCAAGTCTACTCTCGTTAACGTCCTGACTGGTGAACTTATCCCCACCTCCGGTGAAGTGTACCAGCACGAGAACATCCGTATTGCCTACATTAAGCAGCACGCTTTCGCTCACATCGATAACCACCTTGACTCCACTCCTTCTGAGTACATCCAGTGGCGTTTCCAGACCGGTGAGGACCGTGAGACCATGGACCGCGCCAACAAGATCGTTACCGAGGAGGATGAGAAGGCCATGGACAAGATCTACAAGGTTGATGGCACCCTCCGCCGTGTCATTGGCATCCACTCTCGTCGCAAGTTCAAGAACACCTACGAGTACGAGATCTCTTGGTCTCTGGGTGACAACGTCGGCATGAAGTCCGAGAAGTGGACTCCTCTCATGTCCGCTGACAACACCTGGTTGCCCCGTTCCGAGATCATCGTCTCTCACCCCAAGCAGGTCGCCGAGGTCGATCAGAAGGAAGCCCTCGCCTCCGGTCAGTTCCGTCCCCTTGTCCGCAAGGAGATCGAGCAGCACTGCGCCAACTTCGGTCTCGATGCCGAGCTGGTTTCCCACTCTCGCATGCGTGGTCTCTCCGGTGGCCAGCGTGTCAAGGTCGTTCTCGCCGCTTGCTCGTGGCAGCGTCCTCACCTTATCGTCCTTGACGAGCCTACTAACTACCTCGACCGTGACTCTCTCGGTGCCCTCTCTAAGGCTATCAAGTCCTTCGAGGGTGGTGTTGTTATCATTACTCACTCCCGTGAGTTCACTGAGCACCTGACTGAGGAAGTCTGGGCCGTCAACGACGGTGTCATGACCCCCTCCGGACACAACTGGGTTCAGGGTCAGGGTTCTGGCCCCCGTCTCGACGCCAAGGGCGACGATGACGAGGACAAGTTCGATGCCATGGGCAACAAGATCGTTGTCCAGAAGAAGGTTAAGCTTTCTGGTAAGTCATCTAACTATTGCTCACTTGGAGATGACCTTGTTCAATTGCTAACTGTTTTCTCACAGGCTCGGAGCTCCGCAAGAAGAAGAAGGAGCGTGCTGCCCGCCGCAAGCGTGGTGAGGAGGTGTTCTCCGATGAGGATGACATTTGAATGCCCAAATGAGGTGTTTATTGATGCATATTATGATCGGTTGATGAATTTCATATGCTTTGCTGGGACAAAATACAATTCTCTGTTCAAACAATAGTTATCTCTATGACTCCTGTAGAATCTGTAATTCCGCTGTTCACAGCACAAAAACCATCCGCTTCCCCTTCCCCCCC